TTAAAGGCAAAAACTAGTTTCCTGTACCTGCCTTCAAAGTGCTAGATATTTGACTACGAATCAAAGCATTCTTCATGTTTATTAGCCCGTTTAAGTGAAATATTTGGACTTTACGACAGAAAAACAACATGACAGCACGAAACAAATAAAGTCTTGATAAATTCGAAATCCTGAAAACTTTAAACTGCAAACGCGTAACTGCAACCTGCACTTTGCAGAGTTTGCGACTTTCCAAGAAACACCTGATGCAGAAGGTCCCTACTGTCTTAGCAATTGCTAGTCAGATAACTAGGGGCCACTTTACACGGAAGCGGGGGACCCAAGGTAGGTGAGGTAACAGGGTAACCCGCCTATCCATAATTTGATCACGATTACATGATAGGTAGGGTGACCCGCCACATGTTACCTCACCTATCTGGGATCCCCCGGCTCAGGGTAAACAGGCCCTAAGAACCTACCAAGCAAGTCTCTGACAAATCGTGAATCGCTGTTCTTTAAAACACTTAAAATGTCCGGTCTCATGAGATCCCTGTTTTTATCCAAAAATCCCTGCAAGCAAACAATACACGTCGTTACAATTAAAACGTTAATTCATCAGACTGTTTAACTTCACACAGGACAGGACATTTGTGACGGAGAGCTTCGAAAATTAATGAAAGCAACAACTAATACCCTAACAGTTTGCTAACCTGAATATTGTACTTGACACTGCCTGCATAATGCTTGATGACAAAAGCATCCTGAATAAGAGAATGCTCATAATGCACATGGCCTGATTGATTCTTGTTCAATTTGTCCAACAATGATGTTTCCGAGGCACCAGGAAAACTGGCAAAAGAAGAGAAAACAATTCGTTATACAGTTTAGCCAGTGCTAGGCGGTCACCCGAAGGCGAAATGTTTATAACTAGTATCCCACGATAAATTGACCTCAGACTGTTTCTTACTCTTCTTGTACCAAAAGAAAGCAGGTTGAAGACAACTTAACACCATACATTGTACATAGTGTGTCTGCTGCACTAGAACTACATGTGTGGTACAGTGAACACCATTAAAAAAAACAACTCAATGGAACCTAGAAAAATGGTAACCGCGACATACACTTTCGAGGTCCACTTAATACAGGTTTGACTGTATTACAACTCATGGCATAAATCTGTCTGAATAAACTACATGCACAAAAAGGAAAGATGCAATGCAAAGCAAAGAGGGAGATGGTTCCCTTACTGACTTTTTACCTCCATTACAACAAATTCAACTTTTTGGGCCAGGGATGGTCGAGTTTGGGATTACTGTGCTCGGGTTGGTGTGCCTGTACACTAACCTGCTCTCCTCATCAATCAAGTTTAAGAGTCCTGTTGGCCGGCCACAAATCAAATCCAAACAAGCAGAATTGTCAACAAATTCAACATTTCTCCACTCAATTCCTTCAGAAACATATTCATCCTGAAAGTTACAAAATTATGATAACCAAAATGAAACTTAAAATCACAAACAATAAGCCGTTCCACAATTTTATTTTAACTTCCAGTAAGCAAAAATCCATTGACACTGCTGGAAATAGCACCTTAACCCATTAAGCCCTAATATACAAATACAAATTCTCCAGACTAATCTCCATACATTTCCTTTAGGAGTTGGTTGAGAGAATTTGTTTGCTGATCAAAGCTTTTCCCATCAGATGATTATTTCATTAATTCTCACAACATTTTCTCTACATTATGTATTGACATTAAGATAAAATTGAATTTAGTTGCTCTTGGGACTTATAAAGGTTAAAAATTAAATGAGGGATGATCATCGCAGTTACATAAGCAACTTTTGCAGTTGCGAAAAGAAAGCCTTTTCACAACTGCAAAAGTCGTGTATATAACTGCGATGCTCATCCTTCATTTAATTCTTCACTCTGCAGTTCACATATATCCTGATTTTCATATATTCATTTTTTCATAAGGGTTAAAGTTAGTAACCTCTGAAGCTTGGGTGTGATATCCCAGAAAAGAGCAAAGATACAGTTCAGCAGTCGAAAAATTAGATATAGTGGATAGAGATTTATCTAGTGGATAGCACTATCAACCTTTTGAACATATGAAACATCTGTTTCTGTGTTCACACATAAAGATAGCATGAAAATTCCAATTAGCGGTTATTTAAATTACGTTGGAATCACCAATACTTTGTGTTGTTTGTATGAGTTGTTCATTAGAAGTGACAGCTCTCCTGGGATTATGGGAGGTAGGTGTGTACTACAATTCTTCCAAAACTGTCAATAAGATACGACTCTTAAAATATGTTTTACAATCCTTAAGAACGGACAAGTTGTATCTACTCGAGAAAAAAAAGTTGCAAAGTGGTCAAATTCACTTTAAATGACATTATTTTGCCGCGTACAGTAAAACAATAATTTTGTCTATCGTAAGATTCGCCCGACTATAAAACTGTGCAAAGCAGACCCTTGAGTGAACTGAAATGCATTTTCCACTTGACAACTCTTTCTGTCGAGTCGACATAACTCAGTATACTCATTCGAGTTGGACTGTTGCAAAACGTATTTTTCCACTTGTTTGACGTCAAAAGTATTGGAGGAGCATTTCACCATTAAATCACAGTCCTGTGAATGTGTCAAATAAGTGGCAATCATTTCCCAACAAACTCACCTGTTCAAGCTTGAAGACATGCTTGTTGAAGTAAAACTGCAATTTTTCATTTGCAAAGTTGATACAAAATTGTTCAAAACTGTTGTGTTGGTAATCCTCAAATCCAAAAATGTCCAGAACTCCTATAGAGCATCCCTGGAATTAAGAAAAAGAGGCCATTATTATTCCATTTCCCCTAAAATGTCTATTTGTTATTGTGCTTTACAACTGACACAAAGCTGATGGTTTGCAGGAATGACCATTTAAAAACTAGAGATGGATAATTTGCCCATCTTCTAGGTCAAGCTTTCTGTTGGATAACGCATGTCAGAAAGATTATATCTTGGGTGTTCATCTTGGACGAATAAACCAACTGATTTTATCCGTCTATTTATTCCCCTCTTTTATGTACGGATTACACATCTGAGATGACAATTTATCTCTAGCAAGTATTTTAATGAGGTTTCACATGCTGGTTCAGAGATTACCACAAAGGTTGGACCTTAACTAACAGCCAGCTCCCAAGAATGGCTACATGACCAAATGGCCATGGTTTATCTTACTGACAGACAGTTCATTCTTTCACTTTTGTTTTATCATTCTTAAGACTGTCATCTTTCCACACTGACAACAGCCACTCCATATCATCTTAACTCTTTAAGCCCTACTATCCACATACAAATTCTCCAAACTGATCTCCATACATTTCCTTTAAGAATCATTTGAGAGAATTTGCTTTAAGATCAAAGCAATGCGATCATTTATCAATTCCCATTGCCTTTCCTTATTCACTGAGTATTGGTGTTGTTAGGAGAAAGTTAATGTTGGTCACTCTTGGGACTAAAATGGTTTAAACTATACAATTTACACAAATAAAGTGCATGATAGTGACCGTTTATTAAAAAGTGAACAATGATGTGCAAACCAAAGCAATCTCTGGACCTTTGTCACTATTTTGTTAACACTGTGGTTCTCAACTTTTGGGTTCTGCTTCAATGACATTTTGGACCCTACTTATTAATAAGTTATGACCTAACCATTTTGAAAAAGTAAAAACATTCCACCAAAAAATGGTGTTGGATTACACCCAAAGCTTTCTATAACAGCCACTTATTTACAGGGGCATCTTAACAATGTCCCTAAGAAGAAGGGCAGTCACTAAGATTTCAAGTTATCGGGTGTATGCAACAAGCAGGCAGAGAATTGAACTGCTATAGAAAGTTCTTTTGGTTCCATTTTTCTTTTGTTTTCTATGAAAGTACAAGGGCAGATCTAGGGGGAGGGTGCAGGGGGAGTGCACCCCCCTCCCCCCTGAGATGACCTGCGGTTTTCTAATACAAATGGTATTGTGCAAAAAAAAAAAAACTATGTACTTTACTGGTGTTGAAGTAGAGCAAGAGACGAGTGCACCCCCTCCTAAAAAAAACCTGGATCTGCCCCTGAAGTAGGCAGGGATCACTCATAGTAGCCAGGGGAAATTTAGATCAATTTAGGTTTTTTGGAAACTGACCACCTACCCCTCCCCTAAGCCAACATTTTGCGCTAAGTGAGAAGTAAGAGTTAATGTTAGCTTATGGGAGGGGTAGGTGGGCAGTTTCCCAGAAACCTAAGTTGCTCCAGAAATTCTTGGCCCCTAGACCTTAGTGCCAGCCCTGAATGTGGGCCGAAGTAAACGATGCAACAGTGTATGTTATAAATAGTACGATGTTTTATTACCTCCTTTACATTAGATTGTTTGATAGCCAGTGCATGGTTGACTTGTAATACAATCCAGTCAAACAGGGTCCCATATAATGCTTTGGCCATAGCATCTCTTGTGGCTAATGCCTATCAAATCGAATTTAAACAACAGAATTAACCTCGTATGAATCCTTCTCCCCTCCACATGGGAAGCAGCAGGGCCAAGTGGCCTGAGCATTAGACTTAAAAAGGTTTGAGCCCCAATCTGGCCACATATGAAATTGTTGTTGGTCATTCCCAATTGTTGTATTTGGATTATTTGTTCCTAAATATTTGAGTGGATTACCTGTAAACTACCTAACCTGCGTGGCAGGCATTTGAAAGGGAAGGGAAAGGGAGTTGAGAGAAATGCAAAACACTACCTGGATAAGCTGAGTGAATTTTCCACCTTTAACCTTTAACCCCCTAATGGTGGCCAAGCAAAAAAAGATAGTCCTCTGAGAGGACACGAGCTTACTGGCAATGAATGGTCTGTACAAAAATCACGTGCTTGCCAAACAAAATCATTCTTCAAGGCAGTCAAGTTGTGTAGCGACTTCTAATTGACACATGCACTTTTTGCCACTGTTTGTTACATGCTATAAGTGCTTTGTAGCAGGTAAGGTCGGTTCTATGGCCACACACAAAGTTAAATCTTTCACAGATCATACAGTTCAGGGATACATACATGTACAATGCCAACAGTTGACATTCATCAAAAATTCTACAACTCACCTCTTCATACTTGTAAGGAACAATAAATTGTTCATTTCTTGTTTTGGTTTTTTTGGTTGTGAGAACTTCTATGACACTGCGCCTGTTAACCTGTTCAAAACATTACATTTCAAACTCAGATAGTTAAAGATGATAGACTAAAGTAGTTATCATTTTGCCTTATGGTAGAAATATTACTTTTCTACTCGTTAAAATTTACAACACATCTAGAGGTAAAATACAGTCAAACCTCCCATAAGAAACCACCCAGAATATGAAGATTTAGTAGTGGTTATGGGAGGTGGTCACTTGTGAGAATTGATTTGACCCATAAGAATTCTCTTTTAAAAAGATTGCTGGAAACACCTACCTTTTGGAAAAGAATTAACTGAATGCTATTTCTAAGTCCCGATATGTGTATTTCCATGTTGTCACTAGAGGTTCTTCGTATGGCATGAGTAACAAAGTGAGATCAGGCCCAGGTTGTTTAAATGTCGGACAGCGCAATCCATGGGATAAATCACTATCTAGTGGATACATGTAAGTATTAGGGAAACCAATTGCACCATCCCGTGGAAAGCGATTTATCGGGTGGATAGCGCTATCCACCTTTTGAACAACTGGGGCCAGACAGGTCATGGGTTGAGACATTGCTTTTAGAGGTCAAACATGATCAAAATATATAACAATCAACCAATATAATAAACCATCATCCCAAAAAGTGGTTGCAGTCTCTTATGCGAGGTGGTCGTTTATGAGTGGTTCCATCTATAGGGCTCTGACTGGAAAAATTTGGGTGCATTGGATGCACGTGGTCACTAATGAGAGAATGTCACACAATGATGTTTGACCGTAATAGAGAAAAACAAAAGCTTACCATCAAAAGATCAGAGACAAAAGTCAAGTCATCACTTTCTTTAAGAATGGCTTCCTCATGACCTGGTCTCTGAAGATAAATTAATATTAATATATTTTGTAAACTAAGGGTGCAAGAAAATATAAACCAAACAAGAGAGAAAAAAAATTTTACAAAGCAGTACCCGTGCAAGATTCAAGTTTCCAATCCGAAGGACAGCAGATAAAATGCAAAAAATTCTGTGAAAAAAAAAAGAGGGAAAGTGAATGAACAGGGAACAGACGTCAAGGCTGGAAAAAAGGTCAGTATAAAAGTTTGGAAGATCTGAACAGTGAGAGGCAAATCAAACTGAAAGGTGGTAATTTAAGAAAGAAGGCAAAGTTTAAGCTTGGTTGTGAATGAGAAAGATATGATGATCTTCAAGTCACAAGCACTTGGGACATGGATAGAGACACAGTGTTTGGGTGGTTAGTCTGGTTCAAATCCTGTAAGGACCTTGAGATATTTTTCTTTGTCCCCCACATGTTACATGATGATTATTACATAATTTATGTACATCTTTCTCAATCCCTACCACGCCTTACTACCAGGGACACAATTTTCTCATTAGAAAGTAGCGCGCATGCATTAACCAGCATCATTTTGGATCGAANAACTAAGGGTGCAAGAAAATATAAACCAAACAAGAGAGAAAAAAAATTTTACAAAGCAGTACCCGTGCAAGATTCAAGTTTCCAATCCGAAGGACAGCAGATAAAATGCAAAAAATTCTGTGAAAAAAAAAAGAGGGAAAGTGAATGAACAGGGAACAGACGTCAAGGCTGGAAAAAAGGTCAGTATAAAAGTTTGGAAGATCTGAACAGTGAGAGGCAAATCAAACTGAAAGGTGGTAATTTAAGAAAGAAGGCAAAGTTTAAGCTTGGTTGTGAATGAGAAAGATATGATGATCTTCAAGTCACAAGCACTTGGGACATGGATAGAGACACAGTGTTTGGGTGGTTAGTCTGGTTCAAATCCTGTAAGGACCTTGAGATATTTTTCTTTGTCCCCCACATGTTACATGATGATTATTACATAATTTATGTACATCTTTCTCAATCCCTACCACGCCTTACTACCAGGGACACAATTTTCTCATTAGAAAGTAGCGCGCATGCATTAACCAGCATCATTTTGGATCGAAAACACAATTGCCAAAATCAATTTACTAGCTATTTTAGCGAAAATGTAGTCACGATTGAAACAAGTTATTAAAAATGTTCAATCAAAATAACCGGGCTAACTTTTCAGGTGAAAAAAAGTGAAATGAAGATTTCTTGGGGCTGTATATTTTTTTGAGAATACACAAAAAAACTTCAAATTAAATCTCGTCCTCGAACCTAAAGCCCTCTTATGCAAATTTTACAACACTGTAGTACATGTATATGCTCGACATTGCTGACTCTAACATACATGTATACAAGGGATACCTTTTGTGGATTGGATGCATTTATCTGCCTTGCTATCTACACATCTCCCAAATGCAGCGTGCAAAGAAAGTGGTGTCTGATAGCCCGGGACTAGTGAATTTTGCTATCAGGCTAGTGATTTCTATTCTAAACTTGCACAATGGGCAAATGAATTTTGGGGGGGGAATTCAAATTACAGAAGAACTGTAACCAATGCTCATCCAAATTTTTTTTTTCGGGCTAGTTGAAATGACTTTTGGGCTAGTACGTGCTAGCTACAGCTTGCCCAAATGGCAAGCTGTAAAACTGACTTTTTTTGCACCCTGCAAATGGCTCAATGAAGAGAGCATCTGTCCAGTGTGTCAGAAGTCATATAGTGCTCTTTAAGGTTTGAATCCTGTTGGAGAGTTTAAGGATGC